TTACACTTCCGACAGACGACAGCTGACGACTATGATGAGGTGGTATCTATACGGAAACATCTGTATGGCGGGCTGGATTACATACCAAGTGAATACCACGATCTACTGAAACACAATACAGGAATAGCTGGATACATAGGTAATACAATGGTAAGTCTGTTTGTGTTTGCTTGGGAAAATAGAACACTTTAACATATTTTAATATTCAGTGATTAGATAAAGCCCTGTCACAACATAACTCACGGAGTATGGTTATCATAACATGGAAAGCAGTGCGTGCTTGAAAGTTAATTCAAGGTGAGTGTTAGAATCACCTCTTCATTCACCTGGTACTGATTATATATTTATATATTGTTGATACGTGGTAACAGAATCGTTTATGGAAATACGGTGTTTGGACGTGTTGAGATATGCACTCATTTTAATGTAGAAATGTATACAAGGAAAAATGGTATATGCAAAGGGACATTCAGGTTTGATATAAAAGAGTCTGTAGATTTTCAGATTTCAAGTTCGGTAAGGATACACTGTCATGATCAATACTTTCTTGTAATTTACAGATAACATAAATCGGAAATTAAATTGTAAGACCTAGTATGCTTTTCGAAAATTCAGCCTCATATGAAAACAAATCGTCTAATGGAGGAACACAGCTTGTCCCTAAAGCTATGCGAATTGTCGGCTGATAATCCTGCAACCGAATTCAACAATGCTATTGTTCACAGGGACTAATTCATAATTACAATTTCATCCACAGTATATTCCCATTGGTCCTTGTCGTGCGTTTTACAAAATATGCTCCAAATCAATCCACAGCCTTATATTTTTACACTGTTTGCATTTTCGTGAAAAAGAAAGCCTACACAATAAAAGAACGAGGGCGTTCCTTCAGTTGAGTGTAAAATAATGTCAAATATTCCTATAAAGAAACATTTCCATGGAAAACAAGTAACAAGTTCTTGTGAATGTTATGAAATCCAATAAAAACAAGACAGTGTGAAATGTTCATAAATAGTCGATATCATAAATACGGGTAATTGTAAGATATATAACAAATTTCTTTCTTTTAAAGATAAGCTTCATGTTCGCTGCGGTCATTGATGATGGGCAAAGTGTGTTGATGCAATCTGCGAGAGTACGGGAGGAATACGTGGGCAGGGGAATCCTCTCGCAGAAGAAAAAATACTGCTTCAACATTCTTGCCAGAAGCGCGGAGAGGAGTGTGTATTGTACGACGAATTCGTCTGTCCTGGGTCGCTTACAGAAGAAAGGGGCCCTTGTCGTATTTCAGCGAGTAAATCACCTGCTTTTATACACAATTGAAATGTTAACATTGTATTTGTTCAAGCATTCGACTGCAATTATATAAAGGTTACAGATATATACAGTTGGTATTGAAACAGATAGTTTTTAAGTGTAAGGCACCTTTACTGTTATTCTATGACTTAATAATCAACTGACTCGTTATTGATGAATATTATCACGTATCCGCGTCACTGGGGTTATTCTTTCTGGATAATAGTTATAGGAAGAAAGAAGTATAATTTTCAATAATCCTTGGCAATTATGGGGAATGTGACAGTCTCAAATCCATCTCGATCATCGCATAAAGCCGGTAAACATGAAATGAAAACAGTGGTATGCAAACAAAATATATCGCAATCTGTCTGTTTGTTAAAATGTAGTCTGAAAGTATTGTTTCTTTTTAGAACGTGGCCATCTTCAAAACTACAAACCATACCCTCAAACGTACAGCTCTGGCATCTGATGTCCAACTCACACCTCTGGATATAGTAGATGCAAAACTCATGGAAAAAATCTTCCTCTCTCGTCATGCAAAACATAATCTATTTCCAGAGAAAAGAATCGTGGTCAAATGCGTTCCGTATCAGTTGGTGGTGTCTAACATTGATCGCATATTTAACTCGAACGCTAAACTGTTTGCCAGTGTCACGAAAGATGAAGATCAAAAGTGTTTCAACGCTCCATTGTTGATTTCAGCCACGACCAGCATGCCGTGTGAAGCAGGGACTGTTATATATCTTGACTTTTACGGTGAAATTTATGACAAAGAGCTAGTCACTGCTCATATCTCTAAACAGATGTCTGAGTATCTCAACACTGGTAATGAACGTCTTGTCTTGTATGTCACATACGGTAAGGAACATCACATAGGCACCGTGCAGCGTCTATTATCCATGTACTCGTGGGAACTGACTGATTCTGAAATTAACTTCGGGATTGAGGAGACAATTTAAGACTGATTGTCCAATCAGTTTTCTATTGTAGACAGGCCTTAATAATAGTTTTCCTATTGCCTGTTCTGAGAACAGGTAAAAACAGGTAAAACACACATGCCGGTAAGGATTTTAAGAGAGCGTCAAAAAGAATCTTAATTTATCATATCGAGGGTTCTCCTTCGAAGAACGGTGCATACAAATGATGTGGTTGATGTGCTCCACTGTCTTACAGAAGATATAGCTTGGTTCCGGTCGTCGTTCATGTAGATAGCTGTTGTAGTGACTAGTTTCCAATCCGACGGTACTTCTTTTGTTCCCCATGACTGTTGGAATAGGTATGTCATATAAGAGGGCGACCTGCGCAATCGCTTTTTAAGTCCCCATATTTATATCAGTCACGGACCACTGCTTTGATATGGTCTAGTCGCTGGAGAAGCGTACATCATTTTCTGTGATAGACCGGAAGTTTCCAAAGCTCGACTTTTCAGCTAGTCCTAAATCTGCAATGTCGCTAGTGTATTCATCTGTCATGTTGGTGCATTATGACAGATGTCGTGTTTGCTGTCTATGACGTCAAAGACAACGGAATATATGAATTCCCAAAGCTGTGTGCAACGTCATCAGACTTGTTAAACCAAAACTACGTAATAGTCGAACTAAACGTTGTGGTTTATTAAGTAGGATATATTACTTTAGATATACAATATATTCTACTGGAAACTGTATAGAGTCACAACGATTTTTTTCCATCAAATGCAATACATGCAAGAATGAAAAAAAGGAGGTGAGGGAAGAATATGTAAGAAATCCTCTCTTAAGCGTATGTATAATAGAGCAACATTATGAAAGATACATTATGCATGTATACAACCCGTCTTCATGTGACCCTGGCTGCTACGAGGACGTTAAACCCCAAACAAACAAAAACGGTCGAACAAATAAACAGGTATACAAGTAAAGGGGACGCTGAAGTTTGTTGTGTCTATAGTAATCTTCTTGTGTTGAGTTAACAGATCACCAAAATACACCTCTTGGGGATAAAGGGGGGCGTCTATGCACATTGTGTCCAAAAGCTACTGAAGCTGGACTCCCAGACCCCCATCCCACCCTTTTGTTACATATGATACATCGGCACGCACGTAGGGACTCGTGAAATACAGACAAAATACCTAGCTAGCGGTACGTTCACGAGAATCGCTAAGAACCTTGGGATGAGTTCTTTCTGGGGGGAGGTGGGATGGTGCGTCATCCTGGTAAAATGCTAACCGCTTCCTACCG